AGTTATTGACCACCAGTATTATATGTAATATACACTTCTAATTTTCATGGGCCCAGTGCCCTAACTCAGGTGTCTTCAATGATTGTCACAACCCTTAAATCCTCCATACAGCACTCTGCCCTCTATTAATTAGATGGATTGATGACAGCTTCCTTTCTGTATGTTTAGCACCTTACCATTGGCAGAGCCCATCACCTTTACCTTTGTACTCTGATAGGGCCTAGTGCAATACATATTCAATAACTAGGTATTGAATTGCAATCAGTGATTCTGATAATGTTAAAACATTCATATGTTAAGCATGACTTACTAAGATAGCAATTCCAACGTGTGTCAAATCACCAAATAAAATAATAGCAGGAAATTTAATTTCTTACTGCACATTAAGATGATACTAAAGGCATTCATTACCATTTTTATAAGGTCAGATTCAGTGAGATCTGTTACATCATTCACTTTTTTAGATTATAAGCTCACTAAAGACAGGGTATGTTTATATTCATTCAGTTCTTTCATATTCAGAGTATTTGTATGTCCATAACGGTACTCTTGTGAAGGCATTAAGAAAGATGGGGAAAAGGAAAATCCTTACCCTTTCAGAGCTTCCCGCTCGGTGTTTCCTTCAAATGACTTAAACATCATCATTTTTTTTTTTCCTGAATATAGAAGTACCAAGACTTAGTGGAGTCAGAAAGTTGGATAAAAATACAGGGTATCCTTGGAGAGGGGACGGAAACTGAGAGATGAATCTTACCCTTAGATTAAACTGAAGTATATTCACCAAGAATACTGTGTGCTCTCTTGGTTTTTGATAAAATTGTTAATGCCTGCGTAGTGCTTCACTGTTTACAAAGTGATTTTTGACGTTCATTATTTTACAGTGATAGCAAATTAATACTAACATTATATACATGAAGAAATGGGCTCAGCGAAATTAATGAGCTTGTCCAAGGTCACTCAGCTACAAAGTGATGAAGCAGTTCATTCATTAGTCTAGTGGGGGAATACACTGCATTATGCAAAGAGCTTCTGACCCATCCAAGGGTGAGGGTATCAGGAAAGCGTCCGAGAATATTTAAGACAGAGTCTTACAGGATGAATTTAATGAAGCAGAGAAATAGAGGGAAGGGCATTCCAGCTAGATGGGTACATACACAAGGACACAGGTCTGAAACTGCATGGCATTTTAAGGAAGTGAAGTCTACACCTGCAGGCACTGAGACACATGGGGTTGGGTTTGGGCTTTGACCAACCACAGAGACCGAGGTATGTGAGGGCTGGTGTTTGGTCAGGGACAGGATGGAGATTGTGAAGGGAGCACCTGCACATGAATGGCACATTTGGGAGAATAGCTGGAAAAGGGACAGAGTAGATAAGCAGTGCCAAGGAGTTTGGCCTTTATCCTGTGAGTAATGAGGAACCAAACAGTAGAAGGTTCTTTATACTTACATGTGATTAATGACAATGCAAAGGTTGAGCTGGAGAGTTGGAAGCAGAATATCAGTAGAATGCTAGTGTCATAAATCAAGTAAGAACTGGTGGGAGCCTACAAAAGTTAACCTAAAGGTAATGTGGACTTGTCTTTCTCCAGTCTTCTTTCCTAAAGCAAATAGCCATTAGGCCAATTATAGCTTATAAATTTTTGTTAACTAGCATAAGAGCAACACCTGTTTTTATCTCTATTTTAGCATTTTCTAAATAATTCTCTACAAGATACAGTCCTGTGGATGTCCAAGCCCTCATATGAGCTATAATAAAATCACAATCGTGCTTTTTATCTATCCTGTAATTTGCCATTTCTCACAGAATCTCATATAACTTTAATTGGTTTCTTAAGTCTCTGTGTGTACATTTTCACACTTTCTAGGAGGGTCCAGTCCCCGTATGGGTTCTTCAGCCTTTCTTCAAATAGAAAAACTCATACTATATGTTGCAGCTTTTGACCTTGCTCACATTTTACTTTTCCTTTTTAGCTGTTTTGGAAACTGGTTAGTGGTAATAAAAGAGTTTAAAAATAAAAAAAGTCCAGTAAGTTCCTGTGTAGAATGGTGGTATGAATCCATTGGCCATTTAGATTTTTGTGTCCTAATTTAGCCCACTGCATCTGGGTGTCAAGGCCAACAAGTTAGCTATACCTATTCTAAAAGAAATATTTTATTTTATTCTTCCTTTTGAACTTGACTAGCAGATAAAATCTGAACTAATTTGGGGTACATGAATCAGAAAGGAGAACAGAATTTGTCTTCTATTAATGAGGAGCCAATATTATTACATATGAAAAAATATTAGTTGTGAACTTATTTTTGTTTTATTGTATGTTTAGATATTCTGGCTGCATGTGGACATTCTAGATAAAAACTAATCATGCTGAGTAATGGTTGTGAGCTCTCTTGTTCGCAGTGTTCTTCCTGTTTGTACTCATTTCATAGACTTGTTTTGAGGATTATTACATGTAACATCCTTACTACAGTGGTTGGCACATTGTACTAGGTGTTAACTATATGTGGATCTCAAAAAAACTATACACCTTATTTTTAGAAGTGCATATACAGGTTAATAAAGTTAACCAGTGCACAGTTGTTGAGTGCCCACAATTTCTTGTTATTAGTCAGTACCTCATCAGAGGTGAAAGAATGTCTGTAAGGAATATTGGCAAGAAAGTGGCCAAAGCATTTAGTAATAGCAGATGGGAAGGCATATGGAACATTCTAGAGATATTTCATGAGCTTAGAATAATTCAATTCTAGGCCAGGCACGGTGGCTCACGCCTGTAATCCTAGCACTTTGGGAGGCTGAGGTGGGTGGATCACCTGAGGTCAGGAGTTCGAGACCAGTCTGGCCAACATGGCGAAAC